GGTGTACAGACCCGGGAACTCAGCACAGGGATGGTGGGAGCTCCTCATAATGGGCACAGCGGGTGTACAGACCCGGGAACTCAGCACAGTGATGGTGGGAGCTCCTCATAATGGGCACTGCGGGTGTACAGACCCGGGAACTCAGCACAGGGATGGTGGGGGCCCCTCATAATGGGCACAGCGGGTGTACAGACCCGGGAACTCAGCACAGGGATGGTGGGGGCCCCTTATAATGGGCACATGAGGTGTATAGACCCCAGAACTCAGCACAGGGATGGTGGGGGCCCCTCATAATGGGCACATGAGGTGTACAGACCTGCTGTGTTTGTTTGTGGCCCCATATTTACACGTGTACATGAACTATGAATCAGCATTACATAACACATGACAAGACTTGGATCTCAGCGTCCCCGCCGTTACACATTCACCTTCTATCTGGATATATAATTCTGCGCTCCTCTTCCTCACAGAGCCGGTCGGGGTTCTCACGTCACAGGAATATTTCCCAGAATCCTCCAGCTGAGCGGAATGGACGTCATACTGATTAAGAGAACTAAATGTCTTCACCTCTTTTCCATCTCTGTAGAAGGCAGACTCCAGTTGCGTCCTCGGTCTGTGCGGTCTCAGACTTGTGTTGCAGGTCAGGGTCATGTGATCTCCTTCTACCGCGGGGTGAAGTTCTGTAGAGAGGTTCGGCTTCAGGAACAATTCTATAAAACCAAATAATGATAAAAAAATACAAATTCCATCAGATTGCAAGCAAACGTGAGTCGTCCCATCCCAGACTTCCCTTCTGGGGTATAGCTAGAACCCTGAAGGACCCCGACCATGGTCTCAGACAGTAAAGCAAGTATGTAAAGAGTTCCATGGGAAGTGAGCATGTTCCTCAGCAGCAGCATACGTAATATTTCATATACTGTGTCTTCAGTTTCCTTCTAGCAACCACACCTCCCAATGCACCCAGTGCTGGATTTACTCTCTCTGCTGCCCCAAGGCCAGGTTCCTCAATGCTCCCCCCCTGCCCACCAACCCCCCAATGGGGAATGGCAACCGCTCTGCTCCCTGCTCTCCATCCTGAACGAATGTGCCGTGGTCCCAGGTCCCCCAGAAGAGCGGGGGCCCCCGAAAACCACATCAGGGAGGGAGGCAGTCAGGGGGGTCAGAGGTAGCCTTTGGGGGCAGCGGGGGGATGGACTGACCTGCAGGCTGCTTACAAGTTATTTCGGCGGCATTGTTGAGATCACTTGTACAAAACAAGCGGCGGCTTCCCCGCTATACATTTAGCTCTGCTTGCCCGAAGCCGGGCTAAATGTAGACAAAAACTACCCGCCCGGCGCCCGGAACTCCATGTCCCAGGCACTGGATGATAGGAATTGCACACCCCTGCTGCCCTTCTACTCCCTGCTGCCCCAAGGCCGGGTCTTGGTGGCCTTGTGGGAAATCCGGCCCTGCATCCCTAACCACATCTCACGCTATATATTACCATCCACCCTCAGCCTTATTTTCTGCCACCACCACCCTCTGTAGGCACATCACCGACCCTGTACCTACATCTCATATAGCTTTGGGTGGTCAAAACCAAACAGTGGGGGAGTCAATGGTGGCTTCTGAGGAGGACCAAACTCATGCCATCGCTCTCCTCACACTGCCCTCACATTCTCATTAAAGGGAAGAAATTGTAAGATAAGTGGTAAAAAATAATTTAAGGATGGTCTCAATCTGGACACCCGGGCCACCCAGGGTGGTCTCAATCTGGACACCCGGGCCACCCAGGGTGGTCTCAATCTGGACACCCGGGCCACCCAGGGTGGTCTCAATCTGGACACCCGGGCCACCCAG